GATGTTTTAGCTTCCGGTAGAAGAAATGCCCGGATGATGACGTCACTGACTATCGAGGTCCCTGTAGCAGCCTGCGTGTAGAAGCCGAGACGATACACGCTTTATGGTCATGACGTCTTGACATCTTAACTGGAGTGAGAGGTACCACCTCATGAAAATACCTCTGCTCCCTAAGCTGAGGCTGTCTCATTCGGAACTGCCCTCTTCAGACCAGGTAATTGCCAGAGTCTAGGCCATTTTCAATTTCCTGGCAATTTCTCTAATTGTATTCTTATTGTATCCTCAATGTGGCGTCAACCCGCCTGCAGACCAATGATTAGCCTGATCGTTGTATGTCCAAATGCCCTCAAAGTCTACATTCAGATGACATATCTGACCTTTCAGAAGGCCGAGTGTTATGCCTTGCCAATCAGATGTCGAGAAGCAGGTTATGCGCGCTCACCTAACGTTTTGTATCATTCACGATACTGTTGATGGAGTCGATCTTAACATTTGGGGCAACAGTGTGTTATTCAGTATCGGTGTCAAAAGACATAAGACAGCCCTGATTGACGACCTCTGTTATTTTAACCTCTATAGGTCTTCTGTCCGTCAGGCCCGTGAAGATCCGGGTTAGCATAGGTCTTCAGCAACCCACGCTTGCCATAAAAGGTGACTATGCTTGTCGTAAGAGGCGACTAAAACAGGATCGGGTGGTCTGGCTTGCCGACTTGGTTGATGCATGTCATCGTATCCCAATTGCGTGGATATATGCTCATGATATCTATCACAGGATTGTCTGGTCCAGGCTTGTCATATAGCTGGAGTATTGCTGAGTGCGGCGTTAAACAACGAACAAACTTATCAATCAGTTAACCAATATATGTAACGATAAGAGAGTGACAATTTGATTCAAGGCGGCTTCCCTGTATTTCCGTGAGGTTGTCGGGGTAAAGTACTCCCTAGACATATATGCCTGTGTACCGACTAAATGGATCCTGAGGGGAAGGTCGGCGATCGTTGCTCATAATATCAACCACTGGTGTGACTGGTCTCAACTCGATTATTTACACGCCGCTGGAATACTGCTGTGAGTGCGGCGTTTAACAACAAGCGATCTCTGTTGTGTGAGAACCCCAATCAAGGTTCAGTGTAAGATAAAATGACAGTGACAGTTATGATATAACACATCCGAAATAAGGGGCGGTCGGGTAGCCTAGTGGTTAAAGCGTTAGCTCGTCACGCCGAAGACCCGGGTTCGATTCCCGACATGGGTACAATGTGTGAAGCCCATTTCTGGTGTCCCCAGCCGTGATATTGCTGGAATATTGCTAAAAGCGGCGTAAAACCAAACTCACTCACTCACATCCGAAATAAGCAAAATCGCGTGTCTTGATTGTCAGAAAGGTTGATTACTCCCTATTGCGTCATGGCCCCTAGTGCATGTAATGCACATCTAACTTTAACGAATTCCACGGGAATCTCAAAATCAGTTCGTTATATGCGTATAATGATGCATGTAGTAGACTATTCGCTACAACCGATTTCGTCGCAACACAGGTTCACTGTGTGTGTTTGCGTAAACGCTGTGAGTGATAGTGCTATGATTGAGTAAATATGCTTTTACGCCGCTTTAGCAATATTCTAGCAATATCGGGGCGGGGACACCAGAAATGGGCTGCAATCATTGTGCCCATGTGGGGAATCGAGCCCGGGGGCTTCAGCGTGACGAGCGAACGCTCTAACCACAAGGCTACCCCTACGACCCTAGTGTGATAAAGGCCGCAGACATAAACTCACAGCTACAGCAACGCCACTCTATTCACATCAGATCTTCTACCCCGATACGATACGATATGAGGACATCTTCACGGGAGGCCACTTCAGGTAATATGTAGACAAGCATATGTCTGTGTCTCGACTTCCGTAAGCAAAGAGATAAGCCGCGCGCATACACATCATGTCGTTTCTGAGCGCCATGGCAGTTACACCCAAAAGGGTATCCTGACGAAATTATGTTGACAACAACACAGAAGTCTTCTTCATCCTGTGCAGATCGTATGCTGTTGACTGCCGCGTAAAACACTCACCCACCCACCCACTCACTCACTCACTCACTCACTCACTCACTGGTAGGGCCATTCTTGGACAGTTTCCGAGGTTTAGAGTTTGAGTTCTTTTCTAGGCCAGGCTGAATTCGGGAAAGTATAAAGATATTTCAGCTTGAACGTTGCCGAACGAGTTCGGACTGTCCATGCGATAAACGCGTGTGTTACAATGGTTATCACACAATGGAAAGTGTTATCGATGTGGTAAACCAATTCGATAAATATGCAAATGCGGTAACCCTTCATATAAATCCATGTATCGATACAATGTCCACTTGGTTCCTACACCCTTGATGTGCGTTCTCATCAAGATGGGAGTTTCACGATGTGTGGGCACAGTGCACTGACGCATTATATTCACACAACGTTTTTGAATGACTTCAATGAGTAAAATTATTTGATCATTTTAAGAACGACATTGTAAGATATCACCCTCGTTTTACAAATTTTATTCCTAGTATATGATATTTACGCCACATAAACACACTCGGCTAATAATCTCTACAATGATATCACACGAGTATATCAGAACATAATTTCATCTTAGTATAGTAAACCTACATGCATTGACTTATTCTACAATGATATCACACGAGTATATCAGACCATAATTTCATCAAAGTGTAATAAACCTATATGCATTGACGTATTCTACAATGATATCACACGAGTATATCAGGTCATAATTTCATCTAAGTGTAATAAACCTATATGCATTGACTTATTCTACAATGATATCACACGAGTATATCAGGTCATAATTTCATCTAAGTGTAATAAACCTATATGCATTGACTTATTCTACAATATCACACGAGTATATTAGACCATAATTTCATCAAAGTGTAATAAACCTATATGCATTGACGTATTCTATAATGATATCACACGAGTATATCAGATCATAATTTCATCTAAGTGTAATAAACCTATATGCATTGACTTATTCTACAATGATATCACACGAGTTTATCAGATCATAATTTCATCAAAGTGTAATAAACCTTTATGCATTGACTTATTCTACAATATCACACGAGTATATTAGACCATAATTTCATCAAAGTGTAATAAACCTATATGCATTGACGTATTCTATAATGATATCACACGAGTATATCAGATCATAATTTCATCTAAGTGTAATAAACCTATATGCATTGACTTATTCTACAATGATATCACACGAGTTTATCAGATCATAATTTCATCAAAGTGTAGTAAACCTATATGCATAGTCATATTCTACAATGATATCGTCACAAACACAAGCAGTCCAAGGAATTAAAGCAAGACTCCCGCCCTCGCCCAGCTGACGTAGAAGGAACATAGAATAAAATAGCCATTGTGTACTAGACCCTGGGACACTATCTCGTTTTGCCTGACGTGTCTTCAAATCACGTCCCACACAAACCCTATTCACGGATCCCTCGCCATTGATTTTTGGGGGACTCGAGACAACATAACAGAAGCCCCGGCCAGCCTACCCACAGTGTATGGAGTGTTAGCCACAGTTGTGGGGCTGTAGTCAAACAGCCTGTTCTACAACGCCGATGTCGTTAAAGGTTCCAGGCTCCTTCAGCGTGTGAGAAGGATCGTTACAGTAGTGGGCTGTATTGGTTGATGAAGTCCGCTAATCGGCACATGTTGGAAAGTAATGTGAATTAATTGTGCTAGGTACCAGTAGGATTGTTGGGTCCTATGGGATTAGGTACCGCTAAGCCTAAGAGGGTTGCGGTGGTATTTTAAAGTGGGAAAGTCGCCGTGCTTTGTTATATAGTAACGAGAATAATCAGCAGCCGGCGGGACACTTATTATAACATTTTCCGCACAACATATTCATTCCCAACTCACGCAGTAGTGATTTTCTTATTTCTTAACCTCTTCTCATTAAAAATAAATCAACAATGTTTATAACATTAATGACTAAAACAAGATAATTTTTTATTCGAAGTATATCTTGTTACGTATCATAATATTTGTAAAGACGAAAAATGGCTTAAAGTATGAGGAAAGTGTATAGAAAGCACCCGAACCAATTGCAGCAGTCTAAACCAGTCGTGGAAATATATACATATGACCCGGATTTAACATTTGCACATCACCATGCCTCTAACATTAGGCATGTCCTTGGATAGGATGCCCTTCCCATAAGCTGCTTATAGTATATTGAATTTCTATCTGAGGAGACATTTATACACGTAAGTTTCTAGCGATATTCTAAGCAAGAAAATCTCAATGCAGCTTCATCAGAGAGATAGACCCCTTAATTTTAGATTTGCACTACAAAAGCGTCCCCCAAGAATAAGCGTCCCCCTTCATGACATCCGAAGGATCACCATCCTCCAGTCTAGAATAACGCCAGTACGGAATCATCCCCTAGTTCCTGTGTTCCTTAAGGTAAAGATAACGTTCAGGACTGGTGTAGAGAATCACTTGAAGGTTTTATCAATACACTAGAACTATTGTTTCTAATTATGACACTGTGTCAAACAGTGTTTGACACAGATAAATCAAACATTAAGAGGTGATCTGTTGGTTGTCAGTATCGAGGTAATAAATCTAATAACACATAGTTGTCGATAACGTCGTATATCTGTTTCTCGTGGTCTGAACGAGATGTTGCGGGTATAATCTATAACGGTACTGCAGTGAGGTGTATTCTGGGTATTACTACCATTCCAAGGTTATTGACTTATTTCGCTTTTTATGTTCATGGCGTACCTTATCGATTTCATGGGGAACGATATGTACAACTATCTATTAATCAGATACAATATCGATCCGGTTCCATATTTTAAGATAACATTAGGACGTTTTGTGGGTATACAATGACTTTGAACGCCCAAAGTCTCGAAGGCTAAAAAGTTAAAATCGATAGGGTTAAATTTAAATTTAACAAAATTTACCTACCTCTGATAAAATCCACAGCCTGTTCCAGGCCGTATATATCACGGTCACAATCGTCCTTAGTGAGGATTCCTAGGCGAATTCCGGGCAAAATGTCGCTTTGGTTGCTGTTGATGTAATCCAGGGTATACAACATCGTCTCGAGAGCCTGTATCCCACCCTGGGCCATGATCCGGCCACACACTTTGTCTTCACTCCGTGCATGGATCATATGCAACGCTCCTAAGACCACGTCTCCAGCAACGACGGACGCTAGGTCCCTGTGGGGCCAGGTGTAGTTTTTATACCTCCCATGAATCTCCATCCGTGTCCCCAGGTGCAAACTACCCGGGTTCCAGTCGGTGGCTTGGAGCATCACACAGCGGAAAAACGACACCAGGAGCCCATACAGGACCACCCGAAAAGTTCCAACACAGGAAAAGTTGGGGGTCATTCTCCAGAGCATCGCATGCCAAGCGCACTCTCTTGAAGACTTTGTACTGCGAGTGGCGGCTGTGAGCGCCCGTCGGTCGGTAGCGCTTTGAGAGACGCCTCCGAGACTGTCCTGGCGACAATGCCGCACCGGTACTGATTGATCCGCAATCAGGACTCGAGTTTGGTCAGACCATCACTGCCAGTCCAACATAATCCATTTGTTAAGTTGCTTCCAAAATTTGAAAGAAAAAGATCATAGGACATGTCTGTGAGGGACCCTGGGGAACGTGGCGATGACGTCACGAAGCTAGCGTTCATTTGCCAGCGAATTGAAGACTTCCTCTTCTCAAATTTGACCACCCCTCTCGACCAGTGAAAGGTGCTTCAGAATCTACTCGATTAACCTTCTGACTTTTCCTTTTCCGAGCGACGTGAGTGTACTGACCACTGCGATAAAATCTTTCAACACGAACAAACTGTAAAACGGACCAATTTATCCGCTGACCAGATACCGTTGTGTTAGGACATGGTCAGCTCAAGCTAATACTACAAGTAATGGACAGATGCCTACACGGAAGGTCCACTATGAGGTGGTACGGGATAAAAGCATGACTGAAAACTTGCAAAGTTTCAATGGATTCTTTAAGTGAATTGCTTTGGTTCATTGTTAGGGTGATAGTCAGTGGGTATTCAAGAACATGCGCCATGCACCGCCAGCAGGCCAAACACGGGAAGGGTATAGAAGCTTCGAAAAAACGCTCGAGCTGCAGCAAACGTTTAATAGGAAACGCTTATTAACCCACGAACACTTTAATTAATTATATCAATATATCTGGTGAGTCGTGGCACGATGGCAGGACGGTCGTCAGCTCTGCCAGGGAAGTGGATGTCTTGTGTCAAGCTGTGGAGAAGGGGTGTGTCCCAGTGTTCGCTGTATCGATCTGTGACACGAGGATGATGTCAACGCGCAGAGGGAGAGAGAGATAGAAGTAGAGAGAGAGAGAGAAAGAAATAGGGAGGTGAAAGTTGAGGTTTGCACGCCACCTGAGGGGAGTCAGAGAGAGGGTGGGAAATGCGGAGTAGGGGGAGGGGTTGATGAAAGGGGGAGGTTGGAGGTTAAAACGCTTGAGGTGGAGAGAGTGTTGATGGAGAAATAGCGACTGCGGATATAAGGACGAATGAGCATTAATACAGTGAGTGTTGGGAAAGGGGTGTGGGTGATGGCGACACGCTTGGCTGGGGCTAAGGGATAGGGTTAAGGGAGAAGGGATTACAGAGACAGACGAACAGATAGAGACGTAATTTACTGAGAGGGAAAAGGGAAAGAATGGAGCAGATGAGAGTTAAAGGGGAAGAAAGATGGAAGGAGAGAGAGAGATAGAAGGAGAGAGGGGAGAGAGATAGAAGTAGAGAGAGATAGAAGTAGAGAGAGTGAGAGAGGAGAGAGGGGAGAGAGATAGAAGTATAGAGAGTAAGAGAGAAGGAGAGATATAGAAGTAGAGAGAGTGAGAGAGAAGGAGAGAGGGGAGAGAGATAGAAGTAGAGAGAGAGATAGAAGTAGAGAGAGAGAGAGGGAGATAGAAGTAGAGAGAGTGAGAGAGAAGGACAGAGGGGAGAGAGATAGAAGTAGAGAGAGAGAGAGGAAGAGAGAGAGATAGAAGTAGAGAGAGAGGGAGAGAGAGATAGAAGTAGAGAGAGAGGGAGAGAGAGAGAGGTAGAAGTAGAGAGAGAGAGAAGGAGAGAGATAGAAGTAGAGAGAGAGAGGGAGAGAGAGCGATAGAAGTAGAGAGAGAGGGAAAGAGAGATAGAAGTAGAGAGAGAGAGAGAGAAGGACAGAGGGGAGAGATAGAAGTAGAGAGAGAGAGAGGGAGAGAGAGATAGAAGTAGAGAGAGAGAGTGAGAGAGTGAGATAGAAGAAGGAGGGAGGAATAGAGAGATAGAAGTAGAGAGAGAGGGAGAGAATGATAGAAATAGAGACAGGGGGAGAGAGAGAGATAGAAGTAGAGAGAGTGAGAGAGAAGGAGAGAGGGGAGAGAGATAGAAGTAGAGAGAGTGAGAGAGAAGGAGAGAGGGGAGAGAGATAGAAGTAGAGAGAGAGATAGAAGTAGAGAGAGTGAGAGAGAAGGAGAGAGGGGAGAGAGATAGAAGTAGAGAGAGAGAGATAGAAGTAGAGAGAGTGAGAGAGAAGGGGAGAGGGGCGAGAGATAGAAGTAGAGAGAGAGAGAGAAGGAGAGAGGGGAGAGATAGAAGTAGAGAGAGAGATAGAAGTAGAGAGAGAGAGTGAGATAGAAGTAGAGAGAGAGGGGAGAGAGAGAGATAGAAGTAGAGAGAGAGAGAGAAGGAGAGAGGGGAGAGAGATAGAAGTAGAGAGAGAGATAGAAGTAGAGAGAGTGAGAGAGAAGGGGAGAGGGGAGAGAGATAGAAGTAGAGAGAGAGAGAGAAGGAGAGAGGGGAGAGATAGAAGTAGAGAGAGCGATAGAAGTAGAGAGAGAGAAGGAGAGAGGGGAGAGAGATAGAAGTAGAGAGAGTGAGAGGGAAGGAGAGAGGGGAGAGAGATAGAAGTAGAGAGAGAGAGAGATAGAAGTAGAGAGAGTGAGAGAGAAGGAGAGAGGGGAGAGAGATAGAAGTAGGGAGAGAGAGAGATAGAAGTAGAGAGAGATAGAAGTAGAGAGAGAGAGAAGGAGAGAGGGGAGAGAGATAGAAGTAGAGAGAGTGAGAGGGAAGGAGAGAGGGGAGAGAGATAGAAGTAGAGAGAGAGAGAGATAGAAGTAGAGAGAGTGAGAGAGAAGGAGAGAGGGGAGAGAGATAGAAGTAGAGAGAGAGAGAGATAGAAGTAGAGAGAGTGAGAGAGAAGGAAAGAGGGGAGAGAGATAGAAGTAGAGAGAGATAGAAGTAAAGAGAGAGATAGAAGTAGAGAGAGAGATAGAAGTAGAGAGAGAGAGATAGAAGTAGAGAGAGAGATAGAAGTAAAGAGAGAGAGAGATAGAAGTAGAGAGAGAGATAGAAGTCGAGAGAGAGATAGAAGTAGAGCGAGAGAGAGAGATAGAAGTAGAGAGAGAGAGAGATAGAAGTAGAGAGAGAGAGAGAGAGATAGAAGTTGAGAGAGTATGAAAAAAGACCGAGAAGGGGAAAATGGAAAGAAAAGGGGGGATTGGGGTCAAGTTGGAGAGAATCATAGGGTCACATATAAGGAGTGATTGGAATGGGGGTTGCGGGATGGGGACAGAGAGAGGGTGAGAAAAAGGGGTGGAGGGAGAGAACAATTTGGGAGAGAGATAGAAATTGGGGGAAAGGGAGAAGGGGAGTGAGAGGTTTGTTTTTTTGTTTGTTGTTTAACGCCACACTCAGTAATATTCCAGCTACATGACGGCGGTCTGTAAATAATCAAGTCTGGACCAGACAATCCAGTGATTGACATCATGAGCATCGATCCACAAAATTGGGATACGATGACATGCATCAACCAAGTCATCGAGCCTGACCACCCGATCCCTCTAGTCGCCTCTTACGACAAGCATAGTCACCTTTTACGGCAAGCATGGGTTGCTGAAGACCTATTCTACCCCGGAGAGAGAGGTAAGGCAGAAAGATGGGAAAGCAATAAACACGAAGAGAGAAAGAGGAAAGAAATAGCGAACTAAATCACGGATGTACAAGCTATAGACATTCTCTAAAAGTAGTAATATATTCTATAGTGCACTGATATACCTCCAGTATAAATAACGAACCTGTTGACGAAGTCTAGATTATTGATGCACTGCTAGTCTGGGTAAACAGACACATACACACATTCCACTGGTTATACACGTTATGAAAAGTCAGGCTTGTGATCTGGCTGATAGGCCAATAAAGCCAGTTCCTCGTTGATCACTGATACATACTGAATCTAGTTACAGATGACAGGCCCGGGACATAAGGAGATAAGTCCCACCTCTTGCCCGGCACTATAACTGACGTTATCTAGGGGGCTTTAGTAATGAGCGATTGGAATCAGTGGGCACTAATTAGCAGCAGCAGATTGATTATTTGCTAGGCAAAGTTTTGACAGTTTCCTAATAGACTGAACAGTTACAAAAACCATTTTGTTTTAGCTCAAGTAACTGAAAGTCATGTTAACTTCTACCGTCCGTCGTCTAGTGTCCGTCCGTCGTCTAGTGTCCGTCCGTCGTCTAGTGTCCGTCCGTCGTCTAGTGTCCGTCCATCGCCTAGTGTCCGTCCGTCGTCTAGTGTCCGTCCGTCGCCTAGTGTCCGTCCGTCGTCTAGTGTCCGTCCGTCGTCTAGTGTCCGTCCGTCGCCTAGTGTCCGTCCGTCGCCTAGTGTCCGTCCGTCGTCTAGTGTCCGTCCGTCGTCTAGTGTCCGTCCGTCGTTAACGTGTAAATTGTCATCGTTTCCTCATAGGCCTATGGAGCTGAAACGTGGAATCACTAGCCCCGCCCTGGTGTCTCTGAGTAAGGCTCATAGAATTGCGATCAGAATTTAAACACCGCGGAGATGTTTTCTTCATAATTCAAGTGAGCTCCAGAGCACCTGAGCAGAATGTTTAATTGATTGTTGACGTTTCCGGTAGCACATAATTGTTTAATGAGATGGGTGAGTGAATGTTGTTTAAAGCCGCACTCAGCCCAACACCAGCTATATTACAGAAGACAGAAATTAGTCCAGTCTGGACTTAGTAGAGATAATTTATGGATAACAACTTCTTTATTTACTGTAAAGGCGACGTTTCGGTATAGATGCTTGCTTGACAAAGATATTAGGATCTCTACCGAAACGGCGCCTTTACAGTAAATAAATGATTTGTTATCCATGAATTATCTCTCCTTTGTCATCCGTCAACTTCTAAGTAATTCCTACCAAACAATTCAGTTTCGATTTGGAAGACCTGTGACTGAAATAAAAGCGACAAAACAATTTCAACAATTGGTATAAGTATTTAAGCATGGAACAGTATTTAGGTTATATCAAGGCAGTATGGTGTTGGATGCCCAAATATTCTCTGGTCGTAGTCGTTTGTCGGTTTGGTCGTGTATGGTACTGGCAGAGCGGGGATCATTACCCAGACAAATCTGTGAATAAGAACCTTGCGGATCCTGGCCCACCTAGGGGCCGCAACTCTGCAACACACTACCCATGCCCTCCTTTTAACCAATGTGAGCACCTAGGTCATAGCAGTATCCTTCATGTAGGATGTAATCGGCGCGGGTGGCCCAGTCGTTTAAAAG